ATGGACTTATACCAACCTGCAATTGGTTAGAACATCTGCCAGGAGGCTCTGGAGGGATTTTGATCTCATCTGGAGACATGTTCCGCACTCTCTCTGAAAAGGAAGCTAGAGAGAGCAAACTGGGCATGAGTTCTGGCAGTACTGAAGGGAGTTTCAGTTGTGCAAGCCATGAAACTTGTTTTATGTCCTTGCTAGCACTATATCACTGGGAATGGTGGCTGAAGGTAACGGAATGCTGACAGCTGGTACTCTGGTGCTTTCAAAGTGCTGAGCAAAAGGGAACTAACTAAAGACTGGAGCATTAGAAGAGGTATATGATTGCTTGTTTCATTGATACCTACCTTACACCGTGGCTCTGGCACACCCATGCCTAAAGGTTTATTTTCAGGCGTCTCATCACTCCCAAATGGAAATGTGAAAAGCTAAGCTACTTCCCACTCCAGCTGCAAGTGTTGGTAAGATCCTCAAAAGCAAAGAACCTTCAGAGGAGCAAAGGCTGGGTCATGGCACATACCCCTAAATCCCTCCACTACTACAGGTCATCCATCCATCCATCCATTCTAGTCATGCTCTGAACAGCACAGGTAACCTGGAGTCTCTGACAAAGCTTATGTCAGGACACTCTTGGGGAGAGAACCAGACTGTGCATGTGGAGGATCACAGGATCAATTCAATCCAGCCTGGCTCTTTGCCATTTTTGGGGGAGGTAATCACTTTGGGTCCTGTTTAGTTCAAGAGGTATCTAGATGAACCAAAATGGTTCAAGAAGGGAACAACCATCCCCAAGGCCATCAGGAGTTAACCACAAGAAATTACATCTCATCCTTAAGTTAACATTTCCTTAACAGGCACTTTGATCCTCGCTCACAGACACAGACTATTACTAGAAAGAACAACCCGTTCTGCAGGGCTGGGAACAGATCAGTACAGATTGCCAGATATCTATAGCTGTTTGTGTTGGGATATACGATCAAATTATTGCCCTGTAAAGATTAGTTTACAGAGTTACCAGCAAAAGAAACTGCCACGTTTCCCTCTATTGCTTACTACTTCCCCCCTATTATGGGAAACCCAGGCAGTGTCCTAGCCAAGCCTTAGAGCAGAGATTTGTGCCACATTTAAACAGCTGGGATTCTTTTCAACATCATTTGTACAGGGAACATATCCCAGAGCTGTAGGCTGTAGTGGATAAGAGACCTGACAGTAGCACAGAAGTCATATCAACCAAGCCATTGATATTTGCAGCTCCTCAGTAAAAGCTCCAGCACTCTGAGTTCAGCTCCTTTGACTAAAGGCCAGAAGGGCTCAAAGGACAGGCACTGATGTTTGAACTCAGTGTGCTCTCCTGCCCTCCAGCACAGAGCCTTGGAGAGCTGAGGCTACAGATAAGCAACACTACACATGTTCAGTGCTACTCCAGTTTCCATGTCTTTTGTAAAACCGTGAAGCACTAAGGACAATATCCTTTGGAGGTGCAGAGCTGGCAGGCAACCACCCATTCTATTTGATCAAGATGTTGCTGAGGGTTAAATTCTTCAGCAGTTGTTAGCAATGAACAAAAAGTGTCCTTTGGCATTTCCCAAGCTGGTGCCTCTAGGGAAGAAGGAAAGCTTGCCAGACCCCAACAGAAAGGCAAACGGAGCTCCCTGACAACAAGGCAGACATTTGTTATAGGTTACAGCTGCTGGTGGGATGAGGAAGCTTCTAGTTTAATTAGAGCTTCAGGAACCCAGAAAGACAGCAGCAAAGAGACAGAAGTGTGCATAATAGATAGCACACTAGGCTTGCCGGGAAAGGTGAAAGCTGATTAATGGCTTAAGAGATTCACAGCATCAGCAGAAACATTAAAAAAGAAAAACAGCCACTAAATCCAGACTTCATAAGGCAAAGAAAGGACTTAAAAAATAAAAATATCAAGCCTAGCTCCAGACTAGACATCCCATAGGCTCCCTGACTTTGCAGATGTCCAAAAGAGCCACAGAGAAAAAGCATTTATGGGAAGGGGAACTGTGGGCTCAAACTCAGGAGATCTGGCAAGAGGTCTGTCTAGCTAGCAAAAAAAGTCAAAATCATGAGTATGTTCATTAATCCATTCAAATCTCCCTTGAAACAGAAATAATACTGGAGGCAGATCGAGCGCTCCCAGTGAGACAACATATTTTGATGCATGACTTTCTAGGTTTTGGTGCTCAATTTCCTCTTTCGATTGATGTGAAAACAAGCATTTATCAACATTATATTGAGGAGGGAAGGCATCTCTTGGTGGCTTACAAGGAACTGGAACCAAAGCATCTTTGTCTCCTGCAATCCCTCCATGGCGTATGTGAAGACTGAGTCAGCAGTGAGGGACATGCACCTCACAAACTGAGCACAAATATTCACCATTACTCAGTTCTTTCAACACATTGCAGACAGATGACTGAGATGCCACACCAGTAGGAAGAAAAGGATGAGTTTAAGGATGAGTTTAACCCCTTTGGGCTTATTTACAGCAAGGAATCATCCATGCCCTCCAGCAGCCCTCAGACTTCTTCCCCAAACTGATAGTAGATTGGCCATTTCTGCAGCATCTTCCCACCAGCT